ATATATATTTTTTGTTGGAAAATTAAACCTAGATAAATTCGCCACAATTTTTATCCTTGCAGATTGTCGACGCCGAACCAAAGCTTGTAAGTGTAGACGACGAACTCTGAACGCCTTTAGGATGTATGGGACCATTACTGCTGCCATGTGTGAGGGAGCTGGCCATGTTACGCCCGACAGACCGTGATTCATCTCGACATTAAATGGGAGCATATACATTTTAAGCCTTTGTTTACGGAAAGCCTAGTTATTCATGTAGATCATGGCCAGCCCCCAGGTGAACGAACGTCAGGCTAGCAGTATCCTTCCAAGTTTCCAGGAGCTGTTTCAAGCTCATTATGCTACTACGGAACCCACAAGCTCATACAACATACGGTAGTAGTAGATTCGCTGGTGTCCCGGCCCGGGTGTTTTCCAGTTGGTGTCCCGGCTGACGGCATACGGAGCCTACAGGCTCATGGACATGGAGCCCATAAGCTCATCATACTGTATACGGGGCCCACGAACTCATTACACAACATACGGGGCTGACAAGCTCATGCGCATATTGAACCCAATGATTCATGCTGAACTTTAGGCTCATTATGTTGCATGCTAAAGCCACGGGCAAGTTGAACTGACAAGCTCTATTCTGTATACTGGGCTCGCAAACACATTGAGTTGCATAAAGCCAAATAGCTCATTATGCAGCATATGGGGGCCCAAAACCTCGTTATACAGCATTCAGGGTCCACGAGCTCATTATGCTGCACAGGGGGCCCAAAAGTTCCTTATATCACGTACGGGAGAAAACCGTAGTAGGCTCACTATGCTTCCTGCAAGGACTAGCTGGAAGTTAATCTTAAGTTAGCTTAGTTTTATTTATGGTTTCTGGTAATATTTTATTTACCACATTGTTGGTGGAACCCATTTTCATTTTCTGATAGATGTTTGTCGTCGGGTTGTGAGTTTTTTATATCTAGCAAAGCCTTGCAAACTGCCGATCTTCACTTGCAGGTACAAATATATTTTGATCAGCTTTGGTAATCCAGGTTAGGTTGTCAGCTTAACTGAGGAGCACTCGAAGAATTGAGCTTGTGATGTTACGTTGTGGCCGTTGTGATAATTATAATAATGATTTTGTATATGGTATTTTAATTTATCCTTTCTTGAACCTTGCAGAGATAAAACGAACTACAATTTAACATTGCCTTCCGCCATGTTTACAAAAATACCTAGCAGTATAAAGTGATATTTTAACGGTATATTTATCTCTAGATGGCTGATCATTTCAAGATAAGATTGTTTTCATGGATTTGCAGAAACAACGCAGTATTTTATTAAAACAAAATAGTACAAATAAAATAACACTTTCAATATATTGCAGAACAGTTGTGGTTATCGTTTTAAGAGATCCATTGATCCAGGAAATTTGAGCTACACTCCAACTTTCTGGATCAACTGATTTTTCCCATGCGCTGTACGACCCCAATGGGTTTAGCGCTTCCTTCGTTCGCTTTATATAATTATATACATACTTTTACGAGTTCCCTTCATGGATTATTATAATAATAAAATAGGCACATATAGATCATTCAACACTGCATGATAAGCAGTGGTGACGTCTGAGGTAAGCAGTGTGGCGGGGCTCAGGTGCGAGAATGTAGCAAGTTTGTGCAGTTTCAGTTGAGAAGACATAGTGTGTTGGCATTAAGAGATGATTCTGAGTACCACCGGTCACTATAAAGCTACAGAAGAATTTACTCAGATGAATAACGCATGATAACCCAAGGAGGCTGATCAATTTTTACTGGGGACCTTTAATCTTCCCCAGGATGCGACCCAGAACGGTCGGCTAATAGGTACCTACGTAGGTTAACATTCTTATTATTTATTACATTCATGGGGTCGTTGCTAAACCCATAGGGGTCATACAACGCCTTGGGGAATGACAAGCATCCACATTCGATCCAAGGAAGATGAATGAGCATCAGTTCCTCGAATCAAATCTCTTGATTTGGGTCAATGAATCTGAGAAAACAGCCAAGGAAACAGTCCCAGCAGCTTCCAGCTCTCGTGCTTCATTTGTGAGCAGAAAGCAATGTAAGTACTTATGCCTGACTCACATAATGAGTCATAGCATGATACTTGAAAGGAAGAAATCGTGATAGCTCATGAGATTTGCTTGGAAAAAAAATTGTCATAGCATGATACTTGCATGGAAAAAACTGTCATAGCATGATACTTGCACGGAAGAGTTAGTTGCATGGAAAATTGTCATAGCATGGTACTTGCAGGAAAAACTGCCTAAGCATGATACTTGCATGGAAGACACATAGCATGATACTTGCATGGAAGACACATAGCAAGATACTTGCATGGAAGACACATAGCATGATACTTGCATGGAAGACTCATGGCATGATACTTGCATGGAAGACTCATGGCATGATACTTGCATGGAAGACTCATGGCATGATACTTGCATGGAAGAGTCATAGCATGATACTTGCATGGAAGACTCATGGCATGATACTTGCATGGAAGACTCATGGCATGATACTTGCATGGAAGAATCATAGCATGATACTTGCATGAAAAATCATAGCATGATACTTGCATGGAAGAATCATAGCATGATACTTGCATGGAAGACTCATGGCATGATACTTGCATGGAAGAATCATAGCATGATACTTGCATGAAAGACTCATGGCATGATACTTGCATGGAAGAATCATAGCATGATTTTTGCATGGAAGACTCATCATATTTGCATGGAAGACTCATAACATGATACCTACATGGAAGAGTCTTAGCACGATACTTACATGGAAAACTATCCTAGTATGATACGTACTTGCATGGAAGAAGGTCATAGCTTAATACTTGCTTGGAAGCAAGTCATGGTATGATACTTCTATGGAAAAGTATACTTATTACTACTGATTAAGAATATCTGTGACAGTGATAATAAGACGTAACAAAAAAAGTTTTACAGTAAGTATTTTGTATTCGTGGGGAAGTGCCAAACCCAACAGGGCGATGGGCGCCTGTGAAATGGAAGGTAACCATGTTAGATCCGAGGGAAGGAAGGGTAGTGCCCTTCAAAAGTATGAAGAGCACTTCTTTGAAGGGAATGGTGTGCCCCCCCCCCCACATTTACATTGATATTTTCCTTAAATTCAGTATTATGTAAGTTTGTCCCAAAAGATTGTTTTTATAATTGTCTGGCATAGTAACTTATGAGGGTGGCTCGTAGATTGGTTGCAGTATTCTCAGCTTACACTGAGGGGTCCAGAATCGATCCCAGCAATGGCTAAACTTTAGTGTTTCCTTACACCTGCTGTTCCTGTTCACCTAGCAGTATGTAGGTAATTTGGTGTTAAAAGATTGTTGTGGGTTTCATCCTGGGGGGACAAAGGTAACCCACCCGCATTCCCAAATACGTCAGCAGAAAATAAAAAGAACATGCCAAATCAAAATAGTAAAGGCGATGAATCACCACAACCACATTCTACAGATACTTCCGTAGACATGGACAGTGAAGCCCCACCATGTGATTCAGACCCAGCCATGTAGTTTCCTGTCAGCGTAAAGCATGTGTCGTTTTGGTCAACTGTCACCATATACATAGATACCGATAGTGTGACACCAGAGATATAAATACACATTGGTAATTATTATATAGTGTAAATAGAATATATCATAAACTGAAAATTATAGTCGGTTATTCTTAAAGTCAATAAAATTGAGAAAAATAAAATCAAACGTCTTCCTTGAAACCTAACATTTTTTTGGTTCGAAAACTACTGTCTATCATTCATTTTAGTTCATTTCTTATTTGTAATTGAAATGAATTTTCATGTTGAGGGCCCCACAAACCTAAAGTACCCCAGGCCCCCCAAGGTCTAAATTAGTCCCTGACTAGCAAGACCCTATGTCTAGCTCTTATACAATGTCATATGGACAGCACTTGCTCTTCATGGTATTCTTCCTTGACAAAAAACTGAAAGATTGACTACATATCACCCAGAACAAAATGGTAAGATTCATCCTGGACCTGGATCCAGGAGAGCATGTAAGCCACGATGAATTACAACAATTGAATATGTTAAATGTTGAAGACAGTAAAACAGAAGTTAAATCAAGTTTATAAAACTGCTCACAGTGTCCAGAATATCTTGGTGACAATTGTGTCAAGGCTGGGAACCAAAGCAATCATAGTACTAGGGAAAGAGAGCACAACTTTGGTAAAATAATGTTCCCTTCATGTAGAGTACTAGTGGTAAAATAATCTGCCCTTCATGTAAAGTACTAATGGTACAATAATCTCCCCTCATGTATAGTACTAATGGTACAATAATCTCCCATCATGTAGAGTACTAATGGTACAATAACCTCCCCTCATGTAGAGTGCTAATGGTACAATAATCTCCCCTCGTGTAGAGTACTAATGGTACAATATAATAATCTCCCCTCATGTAGAGTACTGATGGTACAATAATCTCCCCTCATGTAGAGTACTAATGGTACAACAATCTCCCCTCATGTAGAGTGCTAATGGTACAATAATCTCCCATCATGTAGAGTACTAATGGTACAATAACCTCCCCTCATGTAGAGTGCTAATGGTACAATAATCTCCCCTCGTGTAGAGTACTAATGGTACAATATAATAATCTCCCCTCATGTAGAGTACTGATGGTACAATAATCTCCCTCATGTAGAGTACTAATGGTACAATAATCTCCCCTCAAGTAGAGTACTAATGATAAAATAATCTCCCCTCATGTAGATTACTAGTGGTACAATAATCTCTCAAGTAGAGTACTAGTGGTACATAATCTCTCATCTTGCCTCGCGAGCGGCCAACAGTAACAGCCTGGTTGATCAGTCCCTGATCCACCATGAGGCCTGGTCACAGACAGGGCCGCGGGGGCGTTGACCCCCGAAACTCTCTCCAGGTAAACTCTCGTGTAGAGTACTAGTGGTACAATAGTAGTGGAGTTGAGCGCCTCTGGTGGTGAGAGCGGTGGCCTTGATAGAGGTTCCTTGAAGGTGGTGGTGAGGGTCTCTTGATCCAAGGAATGTGATCAATGCCACCTGGGAGTGAACTTATCCTCCCAGGTGGCCCATGACCCCCAGGGGCTGAGCGCCCTATCATGAGTAGTACTGATAGTGAGGGTGTAGTATTGCCATCTAGTGGTGGTAGTCAGAGTTAGTCATATTACCAGTCATTGTGTTATAGTGAAGGTCAGGACAGTGACCAACCTCAAGGCCTCTAAAAATCAGTTGAACTTTAATGGTCGTACGGAGGAGATGTGCTGCTCCTTCTCCTGCCACCCCCCCCCCCTCCCTTCCCCACCGCCGGCTTTACAGTTTCCTCATCCTCGGTAACGTAAGTATTGTCTGGTGACGTATTTGTCAGTAAAACAGTAGAGTTGAGCTGCAGCTCCTGGTCCCCACCACCAGTTTGGACACCAATTTATTAATATTTTGTCTTAATTTTCTTTTGGGACTAATGTCTTAGTGGGGGGGTGGACCTTAGTGGAGGGGTTTTGATGCGAGGAACTGGAGCTGTTCCCCTTCTGATCAAACAATAACTCTCACACTAGGCGTTACATAACTCATAATTGTGTATCCAGTTCTGGGCTGTTTTTTTTTTTCCATTATTGAAAAATAACTGTGAAGGTCTCTTGATCCAAGGAACTTGCGCCTTGTGATCCAAGGCGCAAGTTCCTTGGATCAAGAGACCTTCACTAAATCATGTAAACAAATTGTTAATCATCAGGTTTACGTGAAAGAAATATTTATTAAAGAAAAAGATAGCTCTACCGTGTTGAACATTAATGGATATATCAGTCGGGCAGTAATGTTACTAGTTTATATTACATGGTAATGTTTACCTATAAATGTGTGTAATGTTCATGGTTATAATGCGAATGTTTTCTTTCAGGTGTGGTAACAGGGTTGCTGTGCCTGGCTGCAACATTGATCAACATAGCAACTTTGACCAGTCTGAGGGGTGGAGACAACTACACAAGTATATAACATATAACATTGTATTATATGGAGATGCAGCAGTTGGAGACGTTGTTAGACGTGAGCAGGGCCCACTTGTAAAGTATTTCCAGGTTATAAGTCCACTGAAGTTTGGTTATTGAAGCAGATAATAATTGTATTAGGTGGGAAGGTGGTGGGGAGAGTATAAGAAAAATTGTAAGCAGTTGATATCAAAAGTAGCTTAGTAGGAAGTATTAGCTTATCTCCCGACCAGAGATGAAATCTCTGTCCAGGAAATAATGAGGAATGTATTTATAAGTTACCTTGAATGGGGGTGAAAATAAAATTTGGAGAAATGGGTTGTAAAGCTTAGAATTGAAAACTGGTTAGATTTTAGGATTGTAGGAAGCAGAGATGAAATGTGTAAGTGATATATCATGGCTCAGTTGGTGGTGGCGTCAACTGAAGAACGGAGATTCGATCCCGGGCACAAGTGGGCATGTTCCCTTATATCCATTGGCACTGTTCACATAAAGGAGGAACACTGCAGCAGGCCTACTGGTAGGGGTCTCATCCTGGGGGGGGGCGTATAAATACCCTAATGAAAATGTCATAGATGTCATCCTGACTTGATTGTGTAATTGTGTTAATCTACCGGGTTAATAATTATACTGAGATAGTTTAGTGTGGTGAGGGTAATGGCAGAGGTCTAGGCCCATGTTAGGCAGGTCCAGCTCTCAACCACTCGTTTGTCTAAACTATTTTTAAAACTACACAGCCAAAGTTTTAGCTTCACGTGACGGGATAAATTTTCCTTACAGGATATATTATAGCCGGAAAAATCAATAACAGTTACTCAGAAATGTGGAATTAACCACATCTTCCTATTTTGAGTTGGGTTGTAGAGGTTGGTAGGTAAGACACACAGGCGATATAAACACATGCAGTATAATGTGATCCTTTATTGACAACGTTTCGCCCACACAGTGGGCTTTTTCAAGTCACAAACAGATCTAGATCTGGCCGTTCTCACTAGTAGAGGTTGTCGAAGTTGATTTCAGGTCTGTACCAAGATACCCTTGTGTTGCAGTGTCTAACAGATTGAACATTAAAATGGTATAAAATACCGACAGGTTGTTAGGTAAAGATACCCAAGAGTTGCACATGTCTAATTTATCAACATGTCGGTTCTCTGAACCATTCATCTACAAACCTGTCAGACACTGCAACTTCTTGGGATCTTAATACTTAGGAATTCTTCGCTTGCCTAATTCTTGGGCACGACCTACTTCCACATTGAACAAATGTGACACCACCTATGACTGCTGCACCTCTCCTGCCATACGGTTTATAAGCTGCTTCTCCGCTCATATGCCGTATTCTATTCAAGATTGATGGACTGAACACATCGACTCAAGGTTGAGGGACTGATTACCTCATTCTCCTCCTGTTCTTCAAGTTTCTCCTACGTATGGACTGATGAAGCCACTGTGTGGCGAAACGTTTCCTCAATAAAGATACCCAAGAGTTGAAGATTGAGACACTTATGCAACATATGGGAATCTTTATTCAGGAAACGTTTCGCCACACAGTGGCTTCATCAGTCCAATACAAAGGAGAAAGGCGTAAGGAGAGGAGGAGTTTGAGGTAATCAGTCCCTCAGCCTGGAGTCGATGCGTTCAGTCCATCAATCTTGTAGAATGTACAGCATAGGGCCGTAGACGTGGCTTATATACTGTAGTGAGGTGAGGTGAAGCAGGAGGAGGTGGGGTCATAGTGGTACCATCCACTAGTCGAAGTAGGTCTTCGTCCAAAGGTTGAACAAGTGTTGAAGAAATCTTTGTAACAAGATCCCATGATGCTGCAGTGTCTGACAGTTGTGGTTTTTCAAACCATTCATCACATACCCAAGAGTTGCACATGTGTCTAATTTATCAACATGTCGGTTCTCTGAACCATTCATCTACAAACATATGCAACAATTAGGTATCTTTATTTCGAAACGTTTCGCCAGAAACAAATTCTGGCCACAAAATAGAGCGAAACACCAACGTCAAAGACCTGGGAGTGATCATGTCGGAGGATCTCACCTTCAAGGACCATAACATTGTATCAATCGCATCTGCTAGAAAAATGACAGGATGGATAATGAGAACCTTCAAAACTAGGGAGGCCAAGCCCATGATGACACTCTTCAGGTCACTTGTTCTATCTAGGCTGGAATATTGCTGCACACTAACAGCACCTTTCAAGGCAGGTGAAATTGCCGACCTAGAAAATGTACAGAGAACTTTCACGGCGCGCATAACGGAGATAAAACACCTCAATTATTGGGAGCGCTTGAGGTTCCTAAACCTGTATTCCCTGGAACGCAGGAGGGAGAGATACATGATTATATACACCTGGAAAATCCTAGAGGGACTAGTACGAACTTGCACACGAAAATCACCCACTACGAAAGCAAAAGACTTGGCAGACGATGCACCATCCCCCCAATGAAAAGCAGGGGTGTCACTAGCACGTTAAGAGACCATACAATAAGTGTCAGGGGCCCGAGACTGTTCAACTGCCTCCCAGCACACATAAGGGGGATTACCAACAGACCCCTGGCAGTCTTCAAGCTGGCACTGGACAAGCACCTAAAGTCAGTTCCGGATCAGCCGGGCTGTGGCTCGTATGTTGGTTTGCGTGCAGCCAGCAGCAACAGCCTGGTTGATCAGGCTCTGATCCACCAGGAGGCCTGGTCTCAGACCGGGCCGCGGGGGCGTTGACCCCTGGAACTCTCTCCAGGTAAACTCTCCAGGTAAACACAGTAGGCTTCTTCAGTCGAGTACAGAAAAGTTGATAGAAGCAGAAGAGACTTGAAGACGATGTAATCAGTCCATCACCCTTAAAGTTTTGAGGTGGTCAGTCCCTCAGTCTGGAGAAGAGCATTGTTCCATAGTCTGAAACAATATGGAGTTGAAGTGACAGGATGGAGCCTTATATAGCGCCAGGAGGTGAGACGTAGGTCACTAGTAGAACGCAGATGTTGGGAGGTCAGGTCCCATGGGCCAGTAGGCCTTCTGCAGTGTTCCTTCGTTCTTATGTTCTTATGTTCTTATGTTCTCTCAAATCCAGCCGTTCTCACTAGTAGAGGTTGTCGAAGTTGATTTCAGGTCTGTACCAAGATACCCTTGTGTTGCAGTGTCTGACAGATTGAACATTAAAATGGTGAGAACGGCTGGATTTGAGAGGGACCTGACCTCCCAACATCTGCGTTCTACTAGTGACCTACGTCTCACCTCCTGGCGCTATATAAGGCTCCATCCTGTCACTTCAACTCCATATTGTTTCAGACTATGGAACAATGCTCTTCTCCAGACTGAGGGACTGACCACCTCAAAACTTTAAGGGTGATGGACTGATTACATCGTCTTCAAGTCTCTTCTGCTTCTATCAACTTTTCTGTACTCGACTGAAGAAGCCTACTGTGTATGCGAAACGTTTCGAAACAAAGATACCAAACTGTTGCATGTGTCTTACCTAACAGATCTAGATCTGTTTGTGACTTGAAAAAGCCCACTGTGTGGGCGAAACGTCGTCAATAAAGGATCACATTATACTGCATGTGTGTTTATATTTCCATTGTGTCAGTATTTTATACCATTTATTTCCACCAAGACACATAGGCAACAGTTAGGCAACTTGATTCCGAAACGTTTCGCCTACACAGTAGGCTTCTTCAGTCGAATACAGAAAGTAGGTAGGAACAATAGAGATGTGAAGACGATGTAATCAGTCCATCACCCTTGAAGTCGTAGAATTTGAGGTTGTCAGTCCCTCAACCTGGAGAAGTTCAGTTCCATAGTCATACTACCACTACTCTGCACCTCTCCTTCGGACAGTATTTAAGTCTCCGCACTGTCACTTGATCTGCAGATAGTTCCTGACCATGGAACTGAACTTCTCCAGGCTGAGGGACTGACAACCTCAAATTCTACGACTCCAAGGGTAATGGACTGATTACATCGTCTTCACATCTCTATTGTTCCTGCCTACTTTCTGTATTCGACTGAAGAAGCCTACTGTGTAGGCGAAACGTTTCGGAATAAAGTTGCCAACCTGTCGGTATTGTATACCATTTTGATGTTCATCAGGGTTGTAGAGGGCCTGCACAAGTAATTTTATGCTTTGAAGTCTCAAATATTTTCAGTATAGCCATGTGGGTTTAGCGCTTAACGACTCCAGAGTATTAGAGCGTATTGGGGGGGGGGGAGCATATATGAAATTGGGTTATACGGTATATATTTACAGACTTTGTAGACCCCCTTGATCTTGCCTAGACGCCCTTGATCTTACCTAGACGCCCTTGATCTTACCTAGACGCCCTTGATTTTACCTAGACCCCCTTGATCTCACTTAACCTAGAACCCCTTGATCTTACCTTTACCTCCCTCCTCCTTGTGCCGCTACAGCTCTGCAAATTAGTAAGGCCTATACCTGGAGTATTCTGCATAGTTGTGCTGTACATATATAACACTGTAGGTCTACAATTATTTAGTTTCTGCTATCAAAATGACTTCTATAATTTAGTGGTAAGTAGGATAGGTAAGATATAGAACTGGAGAATCTGCTATATGCATTATGAATGCATATAGCAGGGGAGAGTAATCTCCCCCGAAGGCATAAGTTACGTAGAACTGTGGGCCTTGGAACCCACCAACGACCTTCAGAAGCTGTGTGGAATCTGTTATTGTACGTGGTTTCTGTGGGGATGTTGGTGGGTTTCGGGCTTCGGGTAGTGGTTGCGGTGGGTGTTCTACGTATTTTATGCCTTTGGCAAGTCTAATGTTCATTTGTTTACCAAGTTCACAAAACTGACACTTGGGGAGGAAACTTTAGACGTTTCGGTATAACTTGGGTTGTTTTGAGACCACTTTCGACTGCACCTGGCCTGTTTTGATACCTTTTTTCCTGGACCAGATTTCTATAACTTTAATATTATGTTTTCACATTATAAATGGTGTACAATCCCAGGTTGGTAAGAGACATTGTGATTGATAGGTATCATTATTCATAAAATATTTCGCTTGGGGAGTAGGCCTTATCTGTCGATCATAGAGGAGACAACAGTCTTAGAGATTAAATTGGAGAGTCAATTTTGAACTCTACCCTCCAACCTTGATAAAAGATGGCCAATCTCTTAGTCAGACTTTTTATTTACTTCTAATTTCTTACCTAGCATTGGCGAACAGGAATATTGGAGTTTCTTTTCATGTCTGTTGTAAGCTCCTGATGAACCTATTAACCTTCCTTAACTTGTCGCAATTTCCCCACTGTTTTTGTACTGACACTATTTCAGCTACGAATAGTTACTATTACTGCTATTAATGTTACTACTGCCTTCACTACTACCAGGACTTACTGCCAGCACTTCTGTTAGTACTAATAACAATGCTACCACCATTAGCATTATCACTACCACCATTGGTATTACCGCAGAACTTGTCAGTGCTACCTGTACTACTATTGTTATTACTACTGCTTTTACTGCTACTGTCTGTAGGCTGTATCACTGCAACTGTTTTTTAAAACTTGGTCACCTGACGTCCTTTGTAATTTCACCTCCCCTTTCTATGGTTATTGTGACCTGTCTGTGGTCTATTATACTTTTTGACCTTTGGCTTGACTTGATACTCGTCCAAGAAAAACAAAAGTTCGTCTCGAATTGCTTCTCCATTGTTGGCTTCCATAAGTGTATTGTAAGTAGATTTAGTTAGGTTACGAGTAGAACTGGAGAATCTGCTATATGCATTATGAATGCATATAGCAGGGGAGAGTAATCTCCCCCGAAGGCATAAGTTACGTAGAACTGTGGGCCTTGGAACCCACCAACGACCTTCAGAAGCTGTATGGAATCTGTTATTGCACGTGGTTTCTGTGGGGATGTTGGTGGGTTTCGGGCTTTGGGTAGTGGTTGTGGTGGGTGTTCTACGTATTTTATGCCTTTGGCCAAACTGTGCAAAGTTAAATATTGATTCATTGAGTTTACACACTTAAATTATTTTGGAAAATTTAAGCTGCGTTCAGGTTCTTATAAATATAAAAGCATTAACGTTCAGAATTGCAGTTGGTTTGAGAGTTTGTAAGTAGTGAAGTTTAACGTTTCTGGCTGCAGACCATAATGAAAACCTCTGTGATCTGAAGTTATTTTCATCGATTAAGTGTTAGTCGGCAAAAATTGATTCACTAACATTGATGCTGACGAGTATAGTTAGGGGAGGGGGTGATTTAGATTGGTATTAGTGAGAATAGGATTATTAGCCCTGATGGGTTAGAAACCCGGAAAAAGTGGAGAGAAAGTAGGGGCTTGAATGTAGTGTTCCTCAGGTTGTACCTAGGATGCCAACCATAACTGGCAGGTAAGGTAGGTTATGAATTCAGGCTAGCATAGTAATGTTAGGAAACTGATATACGGCAGGCCTTCAACTGGTTAGGCTAACAACCAACACTGGGTTATAGTACACTAGATGAGGGCAGTGTAGGGGAAATAAAATGTCAATGATCCTATGTTAAATTTGGATGCCTTTCAAGGGGTGTCTTTGTACTAGTGAAGGTATCGTGATGCAACTTTTATGTACCCTCCCCTTCCTTAACCCTAAACTGTGTATAATCCCTATTGATAATATCTAGTTTTGGGGAATTTTATACATACGTGCACATTTACCCAAATAATAGTTTGAATGGGGTGGGAGGGTAAACTCGGGACAGGTCGATGACAGTCAGGTTTGATGAAAAAAAAAAATTAGGCGTCTGTTTAACTGGACTAAGGGATATCAGTAGTAGGTTGGGCTAGGTTGTCCTGTATGTTTACAGAGTTTTGTTTGGTGGATTCTGCGACAATTCAAGAGAACACTGGAGACCAGAGATGATCATAAACAGTGAAGATTGTCCACTGCCGCACCTGTTGTTGTACAACGTGTTTTATAGTCAAAAGGTCATGAAATTTCAAAAATATATTACCTCAAACTACTACTAATGGCAGTATTGAGGCTATCTGCCTCATTACTACTGCTAGTAGGGTTGGGGTAGGTGTATATTTTTTTTTTTCGAGCTTAAGCTCCCGAATTGTGTGAATGTTGTCCTCCTACTGACAAATACAGCAGTTGAGGCTTGTCTCAGTTAATTTCCTTTTGTGTTCCTTGAACACCTTTTGTGCGTGTGTTCCTTGAACATTTCTTTGATAAAGATAATTTATCTATTAATTTTAATTAACAAGTTTATCGAATCTTGTAGGTTAACGATATTGCCCACGCTGTGGGCAGCGGCTGTGTGGTGAAGTCCACGCTGTGGGCAGCGGCTGTGTGGTGAAGTCCACGCTGTGGGCAGCGGCTGTGTGGTGAAGTCCACGCTGTGGGCAGCGGCTGTGTGGTGAAGTCCACGCTGTGGGCAGCGGCTGTGTGGTGAAGTCCACGCTGTGGGCAGCGGCTGTGTGGTGAAGTCCACGCTGTGGGCAGCGGCTGTGTGGTGAAGTCCACGCTGTGGGCAGCGGCTGTGTGGTGAAGTCCACGCTGTGGGCAGCGGCTGTGTGGTGAAGTCCACGCTGTGGGCAGCGGCAAGTTGGGAGATCACGCGGCGCAGCGAACACCCGCGTGAGCAGCTGCTGTGAAGTCAACGCTTGGACGGCGTGTGGCTGAATCAGAACTGCAGAGGTAATGTGGTGAATCCCGCTATGACTTTGGTGAAGTGCTTCCGCATATGTGGTGAAAGTCAACGCTTACGCTGTGTGTTCACGCTGTCAGTGTTTAGCCATGCTTGGAGTAACGCAAGTGTGGTAAGTCCAAGTGTGGGAGCGGCTGTGTGGTGAATAGTGTGGTGGATGGCTGTGGTGAAGTTCAGTTGGCGCACTAGCTTGATCGTGGTGAATGGCCCGTTTTGGGAGCGGCTGGGGTGAAGTACGTCAGTAGGGGTGTTGTGGGGAAAGGGGGCGTCGGGGTTGGCTCGCTGTGGGAGGGCTGTGTGGTGAGTCCACGTTGGCACTGGTGGATGTGTGGAGGGTGGTGGGATAGTGGGGAGGGCTGTGGTGGAAGTCAGTGTAAAGGTCTTCAGGGTAGCGATGTTGCAAAGTAATTAAAAGAGACTTTAATTAATCATTGTACTAGTTAAAGATGGTTTGAATTCTTGATATTATTAGAAGCTTCCTTCGAACTAGAAAGACACAATTTACTACAATATTCGTAAATATCAATAAAATTCCATGACTCTTGTTGAAAACCGTTTATCCTGATGGGTTGGGCTTAGGTATTTTGACATTCTGTGGGTTTAGTGGGTTTTTTTGATCCCGTGGGCCGTTTGACCTAGGGGGGGGGGGTCAGTTAGTTTTTGGGGGGGGGGGTCGGGGTTCATGCTGGTTAGGGTTTGAATTGAAATAAGTTAATGGAACTAAATGATAAGGTAGGCAGTTTGAAATTTAATTACTAATAGATCAAGACGTCTGACTTTATTTTTCCTTGAATTTTAAAATTGGGCACTAACCAAGACACGTAGTAATTTCGTTCTAATAAAATTCCATACTCTGTTAAAATTACCGATGTTGGTTAGGTATTTTACATCTCTTGTGGGTACGCTTCATTATCTCTATATGGGGAGTTAGACCTAGGGGGGAGCCGGGGCACATGGTAGGTTTGAATCGGGGGGCCTTCACATGGAAATTAATTTTGAATTATAATAAGATAATTGAATAATGTAAGTAGCAGCTTTCGAAAAAAAAAAATTAGTTTCGAAGACGTCTGATCTATTTTTCCTCAATTTTATTGACTAAGAATGACAGACTATAATTTCAGTTTGTAGTATATTCCATCTACACTAATAATAATACCGATTTGTATTTATTTATATCTTCGGTGTCACGCTTTCATTATCTACCTATATGGTGGCAGTTGACCAAAAGGACACAGGAAACCACATGGCTGGGTCTGAATCACATGGTGGAGCTTCACTGTCCATGTTGGTCTACCATTATTTGCAAAGATAATTTTTCTGGCATCACTTTGGCTCCAAATTTTCCTCAATTTACAACTGTGACCTCTCATCCCTGATGCAGGTATGAAGCAGTCCTTGTTAACCTTTCATATCTGTACATGTATGTGGGTATTTGTTATATTTTTTAACTAGACATTTTGTATCTTTTTTGTACCTTTTTTAAATTATCCACCTACAATTTAGGTGGTCACTACACCACTGTTATAAACTTTTTTTTTGAGCATTTGTCCATCCATATATTTAAAAGTTTTTATAATTCACCAAGGTAGTATGTGTGTTTTGCACAGTTTTTGTGTTCTGGTAACAGTTTTTTTTAATAATGACTTGGATCCCTTTCTCTGACTTAGTATTATCAGTCTGTATTCCTCAAGTGGCCAGATTTCACTCTCCCACTGCTATTGCATGGCAGAATGCCATACCCGTTTCTCACAATTTCCTTTTTGATCTTCCAGTTATATACAAGAGAATATATACAGAATATATACAGATAACTTTCACGGCGCGCATAACGGAGATAAAACACCTCAATTATTGGGAGCGCTTGAGGTTCCTAAACCTGTATTCCCTGGAACGCAGGAGGGAGAGATACATGATTATATACACCTGGAAAATCCTAGAGGGACTAGTACCGAACTTGCACACGAAAATCACTCACTACGAAAGCAAAAGACTTGGCAGACGATGCACCATCCCCCCAATGAAAAGCAGGGGTGTCACTAGCACTTAAGAGACCATACAATAAGTGTCAGGGGCCCGAGACTGTTCAACTGCCTCCCAGCACACATAAGGGGGATTACCAACAGACCCCTGGCAGTCTTCAAGCTGGCACTGGACAAGCACCTAAAGTCAGTTCCGGATCAGCCGGGCTGTGGCTCGTACGTTGGTTTGCGTGCAGCCAGCAGCAACAGCCTGGTTGATCAGGCTCTGATCCACCAGGAGGCCTGGTCACAGACCGGGCCGCGGGGGCGTTGACCCCCGGAACTCTCTCCAGGTAAACTCCAGGTAAACAAGAATGGTATACAATACCGACAAGATGAAATTGAGACACATGTGCAACATCTGGGTATCTTTATTGTAGACGTTTCGCCATCCAGTGGCTTTATCAATACAAATTCCAGGACATAACTTGAAGACGAGAACTATGTACAGAAGATGAGGTAATCAGTCCCTCAGCCTAGCAGTAGGTGCGAAGAGCACCGTAGTCGTGGAGATTCTGAAGCAGAAGCAAGGCGCCTGACGCTTATATAGTAACATCAGGTGGAAATGGGACTGGTAGCAGACGAGGGCATAGTCACTGGTAGGCGGGATTCCCCAGTGGAAGTAGGTCCTACCCAAAGAGATGGGTTAGTTGTAGTAGTAGTTGTTGTAGTCGTGAAGGTTATGTACATGTCCTCAGAATCAAGATTCCATGATGTTGCAGTGTCGGACAGGTTGTACAACCTGTCAGACACTGCAACATCTCATTTCAGTGTCCTGCTACACCGATACGGTTCTTATTCCAGCAGGACGAGGTATCCGTTGGTTTGTCCCAGTTTAGAAGTCGTGACTCCATAAAAACTTCACTATCCTCGGGACAGGAACGACGAGGTTAACATGTGCTCACTCACTCTGGGAATGGCAGCTCATATCACTTCAACGATTCCTTAACTTAGTGTTATTATCACTGATTACTTCACAGCCCACCATATGGTTTAACGTCTCATAACTAGTATACACGTTAGAGGTCGCTCTATTAAGATTTGAGACTGATGAGTGATGATTAAATCATGGGTATTTTCCCCTGAACACACTCCATGGCATTTACCATTACTGTATTCACTAATTTTGCCACTTTATTACAGCAGTCCCATAAATCATGTTCCCTTACTCTTCACCAGGAACAGTTACGACACTTCCTATTATGAAGTGAGGCCTATATTAATCCTTAGGCCACTGTGAATGCCAATTTCCTGGTCCCATGCTTTCCCAGCCTCTTAACTCCATTCAAAAACACTCCCGCCTCCTGATGCCCTGTCTTGACCTCCCCCCTGCCCATCAGTGCAGGCGCAGAGCTTCCCTGTTGGTTCTATTCCATTTTCAAATACATTTTTTGACCCACATCAACACATTAAACATCTATTAGGCACTATAGCTTCGGAAAATTAAATATTTTCCACAGCACAATGGATTCCACAACTGGCATATGCTTCTCAGGGTTAGCCCCAAACCCTTCAAAATCCCTTTCTTCTACACATTCTGGCCACAGTTTCTTCCAAGCAGAGTTCAAGGTCCTCTTAGTCACCCTCCCAAGCCTTACCTATAAGGTTTACACAACTGAGGATGCTAAAGTGATCTTTCCAAAACTCTCTTCGAGTCAGTCGAGTGTCTGAGGTCACTTCAAAGCACTTTTAAAACACAGCTTTTGTGTAGAGTTTTTTGAAGTTTGAAATGACCTGCTGGTCCATGGGCTGCAGGAGAGGAGTGGTATTAGGAGGCAAAAACTTGACCTTAATGAAGCTCATGTCCCTAGAAAGTCACTCTGCCAAGTCTGAAGGATGACGAGGAGCATTGTCTAATACCAGGAGGCACTTAAGGTCCAGTTTCTTTTCCATTAGGTAATTTTTCACAGTGGGGGCAAATACATAGTGTAACCAGTCAGAAAAAGTCCCTAGTGACCCATACCTTACTGTTTGCCCTCCACAGCACACACAAATTAGCCTTGACGACATTGTTTTGCCGGAACGCTCTTGGAGTTTCAGAGTGATACACCAATAAAGGCTTTACTTTGCAATCACCACTAGCATTAGCACACATCAGAAGAGTAAGCCTGTCTTTCATAGGCTTATGTCCTGGGAGTGCCTTTTCCTCCTGAGTATTGTAGGTCCTGCTTGGCAATTTCTTCCAAAACAGGCCTGTTTCATCGCTATTAAACACTTGTTCAGGTTTCAGTTCTTCACTGTTAATGCACTCCTTGAATTCCTTCACATATTTTTCAGCCGCTTTTTGGTCCGAACTGGCAGCCTCATCATGCCTTATCACACTATGTATGCCACTATGATTCTTAAATCTCTCAAACCAACCTTTGCTGGCCTTAAATTCACTCACATCACCACTAGTTGGAGGCATTTTTCTAATTAAATCGTCATGCAACTTCCTAGCCTTTTCACATATGCTATCTGTTTTTCGTTTATCCACACCAATAACAGTCTCTCAACATCTTTGAGTACTTGCGATCTCTGTTTCGAAAACAAATTTGCACCTTTTGCAAGAACAGCTTCCTTGATTGCCGTTTTGTTGGCCAAGATATTAGCGATGGTTGATTGGGGTTTGGTATACAACCTGGCCAGCTCCGAGACACGCACTCCACTTTCGTACTTAGCTATTATCTGTTCATTTCAATAGTAATTTTCACCCTTTTTACCACAGGGTTGGCACTAGAAGCTTTCTTGGGGCCCATGGTGATTTATTTTGCAGCTACAAGCACTAAAATCACTGATAATATGAAATGTACTGAATGTATGCTTAGATGCGACGCACTGGCTGGCTTGTAAACACTGGCACGCACAGGTGGTATAGTGGTGAGCATAGCTGCC